TTTTTTTAAATACAGCGAAATAAAATTTTATTCTCAGCAAATAAACTAATTAATAACAAAACTTAGCTATATTTCAAAAAATACATATTCCGCCATCACAGTCAAATTTTTTTTAATTAATAAATATCACGAGAAAATATCACAAGAAATATTTACTTCGCAAAATTTCAATTTCTTTTCCTCAGTGTAAGCCGTATAAGCATACAAGTTATGAAGAATAGAATTTCGATATTCCTAATCCTAGTTCCCTTTATCGTGGATTGAAGCACGGTTGTCCGCATGTCGAAATTTAATTCCTCGTTCCTTATACTTTTCATTCTGTGTCTGAGAGCCCTTATTTGGATCAAGTAAATATTTCGCTTGGATAATTTACTTGAGAAATATTTTACTTAGATCAAGTAAATATTATTTAATACAAATAAAATGTAAATTTGCTAAAGAGTGTTAAAGTAATTATTTATTTGAATCAGCAATTTTTCTTTCGTGTGTACAGCTCTTGCCGAGATTAATTCTTTTATATAACGCGTAATTGTGTACCTTATCTTTTAATTATTAGCGTAACTCGATTCGATTTCGACGAGGGATGATAAATAAGAGGGATAGCATGTGTATAACATGAAGCGGGTGGTCTTGATGGAATCAACGAGGTGAGGGAGGAGCCTGAGAGCGACGGGCTGATCTGTGTGGGTCATGCGTAGAATAAACTGATATTCCCGATCGCTAACGCGGATATTAAGGAGCACGTTAAACCCTCGCGGGCGAGACGCGAATCTAGCGGAAGGCGCCGTTTTCTCCCCGGGCTGAATCCTGAATATTTACTTCTCCCCAAGTCGCCGCGTACTCCATGGGGGCGTAAAGAAACGGACCACCGGCAAATCCGGTGAGAAGATTAGCCGTATGCAAAAGAGCAACTACTGCTCGAGTGCAGCCCCGACCTGGCGCGGAGAGAGTGTATTCGCGTAAGTGCGCTGGGAGAAGCGAAGCGTGAACACGTCGAACGCGCCGGCACGTTCTCGCGCGAGAAGGGCGTCCAAGAGAGGAAGGAAGGAAGGAACGTGGAAGCCGAAATAAAAGAAGGCACCGGGAACTCGTAAGTAATAGCTCCGGCGGCAAACCTGATAAAATGAGCAGGGATAGGTGATGCCGCGCAGCGGCTTTTATTTTCTCTCGCGAGCGCGCCTCAGGAGTCGGGAGTGCTAAAATGCGAGGGGAAAAACGAGGAGATGGGGAAAGAAGACGGCCATGGGAGCAAGGGATGCCCAGAGGAGCCGGAGGGGGGAGGGTGGGAACGGGGAGAACGGAAAGTTACCCTCCCTTAGCCCTTCTCTCTCTCCTCGATCGTCGAGATCTCGCGCTGGCGCCGGTATTGCCGCTCGAACATGCCAGAAATAGGATTTGGCGGGTCCAACGAGATTCGATAAGTTTCGTAATTCGTCCGTAATCGCGGCTATGAGATTAGTGTGCGAATAATAAACATCGACGGTGTATCACATGGAATGCTAGTAACCGCGGTATATTTTCTTCTCTTTCAATTTTTCAATCGTCTGGCGTCCGAGAATTCGTTCGTTGGGGCTTCGATTCCTGAAAATTGTTGATGAAGGGAGAGATTTTCAGCTTACACAGTTTCAAATGTTCTCGCGGGCGGGCGGGTAGGCGGGCGGGCGAACATGCAGTTTCTCCACGGTTGCACAGAACATTTTTGTCGTACCACGCGAAACAATGTAAATTTAATAGCGTGGACATGTATCGACTTTCCAATTTTCTTCGACTTTCTCCTACGCTACATTATGTACATCCTGCGTGACGCAACGATCGAAATACAGGGTGTATCTAAACTACACCGACAAACTCACAGGATAGATTCTATATAAAAAGAAAATCGTAAAAATGTCTTGGTAAATATATGTCTTCGAACGCTTTCTGAGATTTAACTGTCGCAATTTCACTTTTAAAAGTATATATTTTATTTATTAAATCGTGTCTCCTAAAAATAAGTAACTATATAGTAAAAAATTGCGTGTTAAAAACGGAAATTTTCGTGTTAATTTAACATGAGGAATATATCAAGAAGAACACACAAATATATGTTAAATTAACATATTTACCTGTTAACATACCAGTTTTTAACATATTCACCCTTAAGGTTAAAGTAACACAAATTTTAGTGGATCGCCCATAATACAAAAGTTTTTACTGTGTAGACACATATTGTTATAAAAATTGTTCAAAATATCTGTCTCCTTTATCAACGCAGAATTGATATCTGTGGAGTAAAGGTCAAAAACAGGTAGAAAAGCATTATGCTTTTTGCATATGCATTCTTAACCCGCTTCTTGCGATACATTTTCTTTCATTGTTGTCATCTTCGGAAAATTATTTTTCCAAAACCAAGTTTCTGCAGACGTATGTTTACTAAGAGACTAAGAGACGTTTCTACTTATTTTTCAACATAGAATCTATTCAGTAAGTGTGCCGGTGAAGTTCATCCAGGTGCACCCTGCAATATTAAGTTTCTTCAGAGATTGTACAGCTGCATCGCGTGTTCCGATAAGCGAGGAAATAAATCCCGTCATAAATCGGACAGCATGTCCGATTGGCTCTCCTTCTTGCATTTTCCGCTTTAGCTTTCTAATCGAATTTTCACGTGCGGATGACTAAGAAACAAGCTCACACGCGCACATCTGTTAGCCGAATCCGATAATCGATAGAGTGCGCGGGCGATTATTCCATCAGGTTTTTGTTATCTCGCAAAGTATTGCCGTGCAAATTAGCATTTGTTATTATCGCTTCGCAAAAACGCGAAATTGTTAAATCCGGCAAAAATGCGGTCGACGTATAATATCGCCGCCGCGCGATAAAATGTATTGTAAATATGAGCCAAAAAGAGAGGATCGCCTAACGTGTAGCGTTCAATTAATTTATCCCGCGAACAAAGCGAAGCACACTAACGGGCATACTTTAATCATGCCATGTCGTCGAATATGTGACGTTAGATGTGCGCGCGTGCTTTCCGCTAAAATTACGTCTAAGTCCTCCACCGTAATTTTCAATCTATCGGACATTAACCGGCATCCTTGATTATTCGCCGGACGGAAATACTTGAATGTGCTTGCGCGAGGTACGATAGGTAACTGCACGCTCGAAATCAAAGGGGGCTTTTGATATTCTAACCACTCATCGGCCCTTCAAAGAGGGCATTCGGCGTTCATCATCCTTTCTCCATAATATGCAATTCTATTTTCGCATTTATGACGATTTCTATATGCGTCCTGATGCATACAAACGTTGCCATAATAGCTGCGTGAGCTTGACCTTCCCACCGCAGAAAATTTAATTATTTTATTTAATTATAATTATATAATAACTTATTTGGCGGTAGTTTAGTAACGTTTGGTAGCCCATTCTCGACGTTTGGCGGTCAAAATTGCAATAAGTCACGGAAAATAAAAAAAATCATGTGAAGTTCGCTTCTCTTTTACTGACCAATCACTTTCCACGGCATTACACTTAATTTTGACTGTTACCTAAATTCCTATGGAAACGTTTTCGTTCTTTCCACTGTCTTTACGGTTAGAAATCGTCGATTCGTCGTTGTTACTGAAATTGTTTCTCTCCTCTCTTTCTCTCTCTCTATCTCATTCTCACCAACGGATATCCGCTTTCATTAAAATTATTCAGAATGATTGCGCCACACGAAGAAAGGAATACAACTGAAATTTACTTACTAGACCTAGTTTTTAGCTGTGGGAACTAAAAACTAGATACAGAGCAAAACAAGTACTTATATTAAATTAACTAAATTTCAGTTGTTTCATATGGATAGCTAATTTTCACCTGTCGGAGCTAATTACTTTTTTCCGTGCGGCGGAAATATACATAAACAAAACGACGAAAGGGGACTTTTTTCATAATTAATCTCTCTCATAATCATCGTAAAAATAGATTCAAATTAGCCTTCACTTAAGCCCACGGTTACCTTTTGCTATATAATCCTCGCCTCGAAATCCAAACCGGGGAATATTTCGCCGAACCGCTGGAACCGGGCTTGTTTGACTTAAATACATCCCCAGGATGGCAGAATTTTTGGCCGGCCAAGGGGAGGTCGAGCGAAAGTCATAAAGGGCGGACTTTGGCGGGAGCGAAATTTTCATTTGACTGTCGGACCGCTGTTACGTACGTAACATTCGTACGTACATGCACACGCGTGCGTCCGTCCGTCCGTCCTTCCGTTCATACGTTCGTTCGTCGTCGTGGCACACGTGCGCTCCCGAGACACGAGTGTGCGTATCGCGGGAGGGCGCAGAGGGTGTACCCACTGCCATCCGAGAGTATTATTGCGGTGCTGGCTGGCGGAGAGGGTGGCGGCGGGCACGAGGGATATATCAGCGGGTTGGCGTTTATGTGGCGACCAACTGTCGAGTTAATATTCACGCGATTCGGGGTTGACCCCGCGCGCCTACCCTCGCCCCGAGCACGCGTCGACGACGTCGCGAAATTCTCGATTTCTATCCCCTCCTCCCTCTCTCCTCTCGTTCGCTCGCCCTGAAGCCGGCCGGTTCTCCTGGTCGTCGCAGCCCTCTCGCACATACCGGGTGTCTCGCCGCTCCCGATGTGTGTGTGTGTGTGTGTGTGTGTGTGTGTGTGTTATTTACATTCGATAAAGATTTTGACTGTGACTTCCCAGTAGATCCCCGAGATCTGCAACATGCAGATCCCTATGCTCGGATGCTCATGAAAATCGTAATTTTCCTTTCCGCTTTTTCGCGAATGTGAGAAAATTCCGAGAGAAGGAAAGGAAGGTGACTTCTCGTTATGATATCGAGCGTCTGAATTACTGCTGCGCCAAGCCGCAGGGAATTATTATCTCGACGAGAGAGAGAGAGAGAGAGAGAGAGAGACGGCTTTGCGGAGCGGAGCGGAGTCGCGCAACGTCGCGAGTTAGTTTACCGAGAGACGTGCGCAGCGCTCTGCTTTAATACATTTCATGCTTTCTGTTGCAGTACGTATGGCGTATGGCTTACCCTATGGCATGGCATCGCGGAACGTCGCACTGTGCATCATCTTCATCGCCGCTCTGCTGCACGTCAGTCTCGGTAAGAGTCGACTATATCGTTTGAGGACGGAGAGAGAGGGGGAGGAAGGGTGAGTACCTGAAATGTATCCTCTCGAAGAACAAGAGAAAGAGCCGGTCGGGGAAGAGTTACGAAGAAGCAAAAGTTACGAGTTTTTAATCCTCACGAAATGACAGAATCTTCCTTTTCCTCCCCCCCCCCCCCCCNACAGTCGATCTCCCCTGAGCGCGCGTCTGTACTTTTGCGCCGCCTTTCTTTGCTCCAGTTTCGGTAGGAATCAAATAGAATCTTCCCGAAGACGCTATCGGCAGTCTCGCGTTTCCGCGGGGGCTTAAAAAGAATCCCCGCTTAAAAAGAAGCGGGAATTGCAAAGTGGCCCGAACGAAAGCCGCCGACTTTTCTCCCGCCTCTGAGAAAGCGACGGGACGCTCGCGCGCTTTCTCTCTCTTTCTTTCTCTTTTTCTTTTTCTTTTATCGTTATTTATTTATATGTGCTCCTTTGTTATTCCTGTTATATATACATGTATCGGATATCCCAGATTTGTAGATTCTTCGGGAGGAACGATCCTCCCATTACTGCGAGCTCGGGGAAAAATCAAAGACAGGGAGGATTATATCGCAACGGGACGTAACAAGGAAACCTGACGCGAAATTCGCGCACGGGAAGGGGATGAAAATTCTCGTCGAATAAAATTTATCCGGCATATTGAATTTATAAGACGAAAGATACATATACGTTGCGATAACAAATCGCAAGAGAGACTCGCATGAATATGCGAATATACGTGATTCGCGCGGCTCTTAAGAATTCCGAACTTCCTATAATCCGATCTTCGCCCGGCGAAGTTTTCTTTTTATCTCGAGACGACGTTCATGTCGGCCGATTTATCGGTCGGTCTGTCGGTTTTTCGTTGCATAACAAGCTCCATTGGCTGCACATAAGTCGCCGGGCATTCGATTCGCATGTGCGAACCGGCAAAAATACCACCCGGCCCTTCGCGCGAGCTAGCTTTTCCGCGCGATAGATCATGATAGATGATGATTACTCCACAAAGTCAGCGAACTTTCGCTCGGCCGTGTTCCACGTGATTAATAAACACCTCGTTTCTCGGCGAAACTTTCTCCCCTTTCCTTCGGTCGCGTGCTCGCCCCGGGAAGTCAGCCAAGGAGCGGACACGGAGTGGGGACGACCGGCGGAGAATACGTGTCTCCCTTTTTTTGCCCATTAAACTCCATCCTGTTATTGCGAGAGGATGATCAACGCGCCCGTCGAGTCCCCGTGAAACGCGCGACGTCGTCTCGAATTAGCATCTCGTCGTCGGTGAGGGGTGGAATATCGTCCGACGTGACCCCTAAGGTCCCTCCCGGCGAGAGTTCGCGTATTCGATGCGGTTAATAAACACCCCATCGAGCGTGAGCGCGCGCGAGCGAGCGACTTGCGTTCGCCTGTCCGCGCGATAAAACGAATTGCGGCCGTTCCATTTGTGCAACACTTATGCAATACAATGAAAACGGGGGCTTGCATGGCAATAGCGGCGGGTAATGTGACAATGCACTTACGTCTCTGTAGTTACACGTGTATCAGGCGCGAGAAAAATACGGAGCGTCACGGTCCTGTGCGCGCGCGCCGCGATAAAACACGGGGGACGCGGAGTAACATTTCTGTTCTCGCGCTTGTTTCCAAAATTATCGCGTTATTACATACAGCTAGGATGATCAACCATATCCCGATTTCGAGCTTTCGTTAGAAGCGTCCCGACAGAACCCTAAGCGGGATATGCCTTTTGTCCCGATTTTTTATTCAACGGAAGGTAAATAATACAATATGTAACAATAAATTATATTAAAATTCATTAAGTCTTTTAAACTGCGAGCACCGCCAATAGACGTCAAATGAAAGGTCCTTGCTATGTACGAATAATACTTAAGAGCGTTCAACGCTAACGCTCCCTGTATTACCTTGGTTTCTATTTAATTAAACAAATCTTGATTTCTTTTATTGAAATTATTTAATTTTTTAAACACATTATTACACACTGAGAAAAAAGACTTGAAAATTATATATGTGAAATATAAGGTTTCCTTTACGGAAATAAACGTTTATTTAGATACGGCAAGATAAAATTTAATCCTTAGCAAATAAACCAATTAATAAGAAAACTTAAGCGTATTTCATAAAAATATATATTCCATCATTACAGTCAAATTTTCTCCTAATTAATAAATATCGAAGAAAATATCACAGAAAATTTATTTCGCAAAATTTCAATTTCTTTTTCTTAATGCATATTTTGTGTTCCGCTGATTGTCCTTTTAATTTTATTTCAAGAATACTAGTCTAATTTCAGACATAATGATTATTTCTATTAAAATACAATAGAAAACTATGTTTAATTGGTATGATTTTGACATGATAATTAATAAACATTTTATTTACTTATCTATGTTTACCTAATTTACTTATTTTTCATTAAAAGTCCCGATTTTTTAAAGTCGATATTCTTACCCGTAATTGGCTGATCGAGAGCTGATCACTTTACGTACGGCGCAGAATTATCGCATACGTCGCGTGATAAAATTCTATTGAAAATTAGGTTCTTCCGGCTCACCTTACGCGCGACGTTATCAATTGCATAGTGCAGAAAGAGTCGTTATTATCGCGCAATGACGTGGTCGAGACCGATCGCTCATTACGCGCATAAATAATGCGGCGATCTAGATTAAATTCGTTCGCCGCCTGCAAAAAGATGATGGGCCGCGTATTCGGCTAGGTTCCGAAATTTCCGTAATGTGCCGTTCATACATCATATTCGTAACCGGGATACACACACACACACACACACGCATACACACATGTATATGGATTGGCGGCAAGTTGGCGAGCTAATTAAGAATTAACTTTGTGGATCGTTAGTCGCGGCGTATAATCGTTAATTGCATAATTCAGGTCAAACGCCGCCCAAGTCCGAGGTCCTGCCCGAATTTCTGGCACTCTTGGAAAACCACACGGTCACTCAAGGTCGTGACGTCTCCTTCACCTGCGTCGTTAATCATCTTCAATCTTACAAGGTAACTGCACTCGCTCGCGCGTATGTGTAATTAGCTAGTCGATTAGGGCCACTCCGTTCGAAATCGTAAGTAGCGCGACCTGGATCGCATTTCCGTAAATACACTCGACGCAACCCCCTAGACAGATTGTATTGCCAAGTAATTGCGAGTTAACGGCACGCGCAGAGAGAGAGAGAGAGATTCTGTCGATTATTTCGCAACGAAGCTACGATAGTCTTAACGATGCGCTCCACTTGCTGACGAGTTATGAAATGTGAGAATACCCACCGTATCGGGTCTTGCAGAGCTATCACTCGCTCGAGATCCACGAATGAAAGGAACATACGCGATAACGAAAAAACTAATAACATATTAGTAGAGAAAATCTCCCGAAGTTCACCGAAAAAAATTTCTATGGGCTTGATAAAATTTCTTAAGTTGAAACAGAATTGTCTTTCGGGACGCAGTAAACAAACGAATGTTTGATTTTTTAAGCAATAAATATTTTTACGTCAAATAACATTTTTTTTATATTTTCATCCAAATATTACAATGGTTGTCACGAGCAATGAATTATTTGAAAGAAGTAATACTGTTTGATAAATATTAAAGAATTTTTCTTTTTTTTTTTTTCAGTGGAACAATATTTAATATATAGTAAAATAAATTTCTTTTTTACTCAAAACCCCCAAGTATTATTTCCTCTAAATAATACTGTTTTTTTTCCGTCAAATAACATGGTTTACTCTAGTGAAACTAAATTATTTTCATTCAAACAAAATAATATTTGATATTAAATTATGTTTATATCAAACAAATCTAATTTAAGCAAACATATAAATTAAATCTAAAGAAATCTTTTTCTCTATATAAAGAGGAAGCGTTAGCGCGTATTTTGTCGCGATTGCCCATTCGACTTCTTTAAATTAACTATTCTTTGACTCTTAAACGACGCTCAACATATATTAAAGGATTTAATTTATATGATATATTTCAAAATGAAAAAAAATCACATATTTTAAATCGTACATAGATTATATTGCATTGTTTGTAATGTCAATTTTATTGGACATTAATTTTTATCAATTATTAATATGTGCATTATAATGGGAAAATGATAGTTTACATATATAAGAAAAATAACTTAAATTCTCCTGAAAAGAATTTCAAGTGTATACCATCTATTGTTTCGCTCGATCCTTGTGGAGCTCTTAAGAGAGGAGCCGCGAACGGGACCACAAACGTCAAGATCTTTTTCTTGAATCTGCATAGCGAAACAATGCAAATCAAGCGAAGCCATCGAGTACTCCGTGCGTTCTCCAGCGACGGAGAGACGGAAGGAGTAGAACGCACCTTGCCGAGATGGCGGGGAACCGTAGCGCTTACCTATCGACTAAACCGATTTGGTCTTGCCGCGCTCTTTCCTTCACCCGCGGTGTGCTTACACGTGTGCAGTGACTATAAATACACAGAGATCAGACTCCAAATGGACCCACGTTGGCCCTGCGAGTAAACACGATTGAACCTCTGATGAGGAGATCTTTTCACTTCAATCGCCGATTACGCTGAAAACTCACCGTCGGTGTCCGGATATTTCCCCTCGGGGAAAAATCACCGCGAAATTGGACGAATAATAACTCATATGTCTGAATTACCTGTCATTACAATTTAGCGTAATTATCCTGGCGTAATTATCCTGAAAGTTGTATGTACGAAATATGATTACGGGACACGGAGAATAATATACATGGAAATAATTCGCATATGTAGAAAAAAATCTTTCGTCAAAATGTTAACATTTTCTTATGTTACCGACTTTTGATTAATATCTTAATGTCAAATTAACATACAGCTCATATGTCATTATTTTTATGACGTTTCCGTGTGTTAAATTTATGTCAATTTAATAATTTGACATTTTTCTGTGTATCATTTAAAAATGAAATGTTATCTCGAGTTATTTTAACAGAATTATTTCAGGAAATATTTTTTTAAAGCCATTTTAACATTAACATAAGTTAAAGTGAGTCTTCAAATAAACATAAATGTTGATATATGAAGTAATTAAATTGACTAAAACCAAATGTTTATATTACGAATAATTTAAGTTAAAATAATAATTTAATTGAAAATAATTAATATTATGTTAATATGGTATAAGAAATGCATTCTTCAGAATTATATTAAAATATAACATTGATTTTATTCACATACGGATAATGTGTTCCAGCAACATTTTTTACAAGTTACTTTAACTACTCCTTCGCGTATTTTTAACTTCATATTTTAAATTTTATTGCGTTATTTTAACATCATACTTTAAATTTTAACATCATACTTTAAATTTAAACAATACATATAAATGTAGAATAAAACGTGTTTTTATGTCAAATTAACATTTTCAGTGTGTTAAGAAGTAACACACGAATATGTTATTTTAGCACAAAATTTAGAATACGCTTTCTGAGACATACGAAAAATGTTAAAGTTGACGTTTTATTTTTTATTGTGTATCTTTGTACTACCGAATGTCACCGGATCTCACGAAATTAATTTGTCGAATCGGTGGGTCGCGTGTTTTCCGGTGCAATCTTGCCCCACGAGCATCGGTTGTGATTTCAACTCGGAGACATTCGGTTTTCGTGTATCTGTAGCCGCTACGCTTTCGCGTGAGCGCACGTATATTTGAACACGTGTATGTATGTATGTGTGTGTATGTGTATGTGTGTCTGGAAAAAGATAGGTTGCAGCTGCGTACCGAGGTCCGAGGAAGCCCGGGACAGGACTGGCGAGTAATTCACTTTCAAGAAGAAGTCCAAGTTTGATTGCGCGCTCAGATCGCGACAATCGTTTCTATCGCGTTTCTAACGCCATTGGAGCGTGTTTTCACCGTCTTGTCGCTCGCGGGTGTGCCAGAGGGCTGTGTCTCTCTCACTCCCTTTCTCTCCTTGAAAAAAGAAAAGAAATGACTGAAGAAAGGACATAAATCAGCTAATATAGCGTCGTGAATAGCCCTGATTTTTGCTCCTCCTCTCGCAACGACTCCATCGTGCTGACTTTGCGACACCGTTTATATGCGCCTTACGCATCTCAGTAAGAGGGTGATTAAGCGTCCAAGTTGGCGCCAAGAATATGTCTGATTATGCTATTATCAACCGTGAATAAGATCCTTCGTTTCTCGTCACCGTGTTTGTAAATAATAATTAGTCCGAATTAGGATATTTCGAAAGAAAAGAAGAAAATAATTTCTTTCCTCTCTTTTTTCATTTGCGCCCCCGGCACTTCTGTAACGGTAGCTTGTCTTATTTATACGTGAATCCGTGTGAGATGCGAACATCACGCGTACGTAAAAATGGTGGAAACATATCCGGATCCGAATAGCGACATATGGAGTCTTATGATTTTGTATGTCGTTTCCATGCATTTATTCGTACAGATTTTACACACACGGCACTCGCCGTCATTTGTAATCGGTGTAGCTGCGCGAAGTCGTGACTTTTTAATAGTCTAGTTTCCTATAAATAATGCGCGATAACGATTTACTCTCCCGCCGTTCCGCTTCCCGTCACTCCTCGTTTGGATACATTGTTGGCGCAAAATATTATTTTTCGCACTTCGTTTTGTTTAATCAGTCCGACGTGTGTGTTTTTCTACATAATATCTATTTTTCTGCAACACGGATATATTTTATTCTCTGTGTTGTTCTACGCGCGATTCGATCGCGATCAAGAGAGAAAGAGAGAGAGAGAGAAGGAGGTGGGATGTAAAACAGATTTCGCCGTGTAAATGTGAAAAAGAGAGCGACAGCCGGCTTTCAAATATACATCGAAAACTGTTTAATTTGGCAGCCCGAACTCGTCGTATTACATGTAACCGTGTCCCGTGCATCCGGTAACGTCTAATCTCGGAAATTTAACCCTTTGCTGCAGTCCCACGTAACGAGCAAGCAGTACAGCCGTATCTAAAGCCACCAGTGCTACTTCACTCTCCACGTAAATTCAAGTCTCCAATTAGATTCGAATGGCGTTACGTTGGTGAAGTTCATTTGAAATTAATTGAAAAGTTCAAAATACGGCTGTCTCGGCGGCGACGTCGCTCCCGAAATATTCGGTACATTCTACACTGAATTTTATCGCGGAGATCGCGAAAACATGTCTACGCCTCTCCCTTTCGACCGGAAATATTTCAGACAATTATACCAGGGGATTGCGAGACCTGCTCTTAAAAAAGTACGATCCATTTCGAAGATACGTGCTTTTCCATAGATATATTTTCTCATTAAAAGCGGATTTTAACGGATCTCTCATTTCGGAAACGACCGTTCTGAATATACAAGATAGATACGCGCCAAGTAAACATGCGCCAATGAAGGCGGACCCGGCTTGCGAGAGAGAGAGAGAGAGAGAAATGCATCTAAATACTGAATGCTGCACGTGTACATGTAAACCCAAGTACTAAATATAGTAGCTAAATGCCACCTAATACCGTCGTAAATGTAATACCTCGAGATACGATGCCACTGTAGATCGTGTGCATCAGATATATCGGATATCCGTAAGGACATCCGCCAATTGCTTGGCATGCGAAGGATCATACGGCCACGAGGAAACGCGGCCGAGGAGAGCATCATCGCCGCATGAAAGCGCTATTTCCAACAGGTAGATCGCGATTCTCTCTCTCCCTCTCTCTCTCTCTGTTCCGCTTATTATCTTTTTCCCGCGTATTTATGCGCGCCTTAAATTCCGTTGCCGATCGAGACTTCGCAAGGGTCTTTTGTTCGCGGTTTAAAAGCCCTTTCATCCGCTCAATAGCTCGCACCGCCGTCTGAAATATGACAGATCGAGCTGTCGACCCGGGCGGGCGATGGGTAGGAGATGTGTATGTATGTGTGTTGCGAGGGCGCGAAGGGACGCGGTAGGGTGGCTCCGGTGTAAACCCGAGCGGAATTTGAGAGTGCAGCTCCGCGAGAGAGCGCGTTGCGCCCCGGTATGAATGCCGATAAGCGCCTTTCGCGAGGCCCTCGCGACGCTTTTTAAGCACCGCCAGCTCCGGCGTTAATGAAGAGTTCGCGCTCTCTTGGCGCGCGGGGCTCGATCTCCCTGCCGCGCCCTCGTGAACAGAATGCAAGCCCCTTCTCGCGGAAAAAGCCAGAAATTCCCTTCTCTGCGCGTTCCGCGTAAGCCGCGGCGCGTTACTTATCTTTACGGCGCCCTTTGTCGCGATCTCGCGAGAAGCTATTGTCGCGGTCGCGATTAACGGATTACGGCGAGGCTGGGAAAATAGCTTCGTTTTCGACGCACGCACGCATACATACACATATGATTGTCTTGATACCATCGTCGTCATCTCCGCGGTTCAATAATTAACTTTCGCGGTAATTGTATCCAAAATAAAATTCCCGTCGATTTAATCGGTGCGCTGATTGCGCTTTATGAACAATCGATTTATCGACCTTTGGTTACCGCACTCGCGCGCACGTGCGCGTATTTATGGAAATGCTATGTAAATATTAAAGGAGGAAAATATTATTTGACAATGCATATCGCGCGGTCCAAATTAAATGTACGTTTTACAAATATTGTAATCGCTCTAGAGTGATATATACTAAAATTGTTTTAATACCCGTCGCGTGCGCGCGGGCGAAGCGTTTATAAAAAATTGCGGGTGTTCTGAAAATTTTTTCGTGAAACTATGCCGCAGAATTTCGCGAAATGCGGCGACTCCGCGTTCGCAGCGTCCGGCCGTCATGTCGCGCCCACTACGTGCAACACGTCGTCGGAACATTAATCGGAAAACAACAAATTCACCACGAGAAGACGTTCATTACGCGGGGAATCCCGGAATTTCATGAATAGGCCGATGGATATTTAGCGTTAGATTTTAATATATCGACGGTCTCTGCGTAATTTCTAAAACGTTCCTTCTATATTTGGCCGCGGGTCATATCTGTCAGTACGGGCACAATGAGCACTTTTGTTACGTCACGCGCAGGTCGCCTGGATAAAGTCGGATTCGAGGGCGATTTTGGCTATTCACACTCACATGGTGGCGCACAATCCGCGTTTGTCCGTCACTCACAACGGCCATAACACATGGAAGCTGCACGTGACTAACGTTCAACCGAACGACTCCGGCACGTACATGTGTCAAGTTAATACGGATCCTATGAGGAGTCAGGTCAGTAGAGCCGCTGAACATTAAAGCGACAGTCATCGCCCTCCATCACGTCCCTCTCGCCGAATAGGGACGATGTCGTTCCGCGCCTTCCTCTTCCTCTCCCTGTGTAACGCGAATGCCGCATGAATGCAATGTGTACGCGCGTGCACGAACGCACGTATATCCGCGCAGAGTGGAGAACATTCAGTGGCAACTGGAAAAACACGCGTGTCGCGGCACACGCGATTCACTTGCGACAATAACCTCGTTTATCAAGTAGAATGAGAAAAGAAATTTTAAAAAATTCTCCCTGGTATTTTGCTCGTCGGGTCGTGCCCTCGCGAAGGAGAGAAAGAGCCGAGAAAGTTGAATGTTTTTTTTTATATCTTCGAGTTTATATATTATTACGTGCTTGCAAAAGCGTTCGTATGGTATCAAAGCCGTCACCAATAAAACTATTCGCCACAAGAAACTTCTTTTTTATGCTTGGCAAACAATGAGAGAGAGACGGTGAGCCAGTTGGCAATCGCGTTCGCAAAGAATTCATGGGTAAGCCATCCTCCTTCTTTCTGGGTATTTTTCATTGCTTTCAAATGGCGAGAAATATTGATTCATCAACTTCAAGCTGTCCTGTTAGCTCTTTTAATGTTTGAACCGAATTTTCGTTGAACAATGCTTCCAATTCGTTGTTCTCCACTTCGTTTGGACGACCAGAACGTGGCTTGTCGTTCACATCGTAATCGCTATTTCTAAATCTTTTAAACCACTTCTCACAGACAGCAGCGGACATAATATTCTCTCCGCACACTGAAAAAAAATTACTATGTTCAAATACATATTTACTAAGGAATATTGTAGCAATTTATTTTATTTGGATTAAGTAAATGAACTACTCCAATATTCCTTAGCAAATATTTATTTGAACATAGTAATTTTTTCTTTTTAGTGCAGATCTCACAAATCAGTCTTTTAAGTGGTGCAGCAGTTTCATCGGATTAAAATATATTCGATTAAAAGTTAGATATCGATTAAAAGTATGCCGTGGCGAAAATTGAATTTATCTGATTTCACCTTCATTCGCATTAAATGTGACATTCTGCTTGAACCTATGAATTATTAACCATCAATTCTGAACTAATATGGCCAATTTAAAAATTAAAAGGCGACTAAAAGAAAAACAATTATAATTCATTGCTTCAACCATCTATTTGTGACCTTACAAACTTTTGCCAGCACCTAATACGTTTTCTCAAGAAAGTGTTATTGAAATCCTTCGAAAATCCGCGGTAAGGAAACTTTTGCTGCCAAACCAGTCGTCGTACGTTCTTTTAGCCACACCTCGCGATTATTACGAATTTTTCGGGAAAAATTAATAAACATGATGAATGGCGAAGAAAAACCATCCGAAGCACCACGATATGTATTATAGAAATTTGGGTAAATTTGGAAATCTTCGGGCGAAAAGAATCCACTGGATATCCGTTCGTGTAGCTTCTTCCCGTCGCGGATGTTAAATGAACGTCGGAGCATCAGTTTGCTAAACTCGGACGAAAATCCAATAATATATCGAGCTTGATTCAAGTATCCCGGCGGAAATACACGGTCGAGGATGGTTCTCCTACGGATCGCTTCCTAACGATTGCGTACCTTGCGCGCAGACCGGTCACATGAAGGTCGTGATACCGCCCGATATCATGGATCTGGACGACACGGCGGACCAGCTGACCACAAGAGAGAACGGTGACCTGCGACTGCGGTGTCTCGCCACCGGCACACCGGCACCGGTAGTGATTTGGCGACGGGAGGACGGCAGGAACATCACGCTGAGGAACGAGCACGGTGTCAAGCGAAGTACGTACATGGCGTTAACATAAATAATCTGCCTCGACGTAGATTTCGTCGAACACAGGGAGATCTCTCCGGGAAAATTGAATAAAGTATGGAGAGGAAGCAGAAGGATATAAAAAAGTAAAAGGCAAAATATTCGAAGAGAAGAAAAAACGGAGAGAGGGAGAGAGAGGGATAAAAGTATCGGATCGAATGTAGAGTGAAGAAGAAATCTTTCATGTCTCGTCGTATTCTCGCTTCGTCGGAAATCCGAAAAGGGAACGATACATGTTTTACAATATATATGCATAATATATGAACCGGACGCGAAATAATTGACGTTGACAGGGAAACGCATTTTTACATAAAAAGAAAATCCGAAGGATATTTCGCGTATGATAATGAGAGATCTCACGTTTCAATTTGATTAGTTGTTAATTAACGGTAACGGTTTACGTTTTTGGATGAAAGGACGAGCGGTGACGAACCGCTCCTGTCGCGGCTTTAAAAATGATGGATTAAAATTCCATCATATCCCGGTTGGCGAGGCGCGCCATTAACGTTGAAATGTGCTTCTACCTCGAAAATAAATGGAATTAAGCGACCTTACCGCCGGATAACGACTGATTAACGATTACGAGGCGCGTGAGGCAACGTGTGTGAAAAAGGATAACGGTCATGGTTAAATCGCGGATTGTAACCGCGAGTCGAATCGCAACTAGAGTCCCTGTAATAAGAGTATGGGCACCGTCGTTGCGACTGCCATGTTTGGATCAAAAACCAAAAGTTCACAGCCATAATACACGAAATGTTCAAATAATATTAAAATATTAAAATAGATGTAAGCCAAAATAAATTAATAATTAATAATATGAAACACACAAACTCAATTTTCTTTTAACACACATTGTAGACTTCGTAGATGGCAAATCATTACTTATGTTGTCCCTTAGTTGATAACTTTGTTTTCCAGCAAAAGACACAAGTCGACATAAGTCTAATTATATCATTATTTGTTGTCATCATATCTTTATTTCGCGTTTGATAAAGAAATGGATAATATATGATGTAACTAAACTTGTGTCGACTTTTGTCTCTTGCTGGAAAGTAACTTTTGAATGTGATTGAAGTTTGGAGCGATTTTCGAGCGAAAATAAAAAAAAAATTTTCAAGTTTAACCTCAGAAAAAACAAAGATACGCAAAAAAAATAAAATAGGCAAAATGTGTTAATATTACCCCAACCGGAAGCTTACTCAAACATGGCAGAGCCAATTAGAAATTAGACATAGTGTCCAAACTCTTATTGGTTGCGTTTCGAAGATCACTGTCAGTACTAAATATCTATAGTTTATGTTATGTATATTGTAATTTATGTTATATATATTATAGTTTATGTTATGTATATTATAATTAATGTTATGTATATTATAGTTTATGTTATGTATATTATAGATTTTTAGTACCAGTTGTAAATATCGGAACGCTGCCCTCATACGGACTCTGTACGGAGTAAAATATTTTGCTGGCACAGTGAATTGTTAGTTACTACGGGGACAGCAAAAAAATTCGTTCGGACCGCAAAAAGATTTATTAAGAATATTGATTACCACTTGTTGGATATATGGAAAGCAACGTAATTTTGTTTGGCAACGACGTTTCGCTGCAACAGCAAAATTGTTTTTTCCGTATAAACAATCTTTTTGCTGTCGCCGTAGTAACTAACAATTTCTGCTGCTTTGGAAAAATAATTTTCTCCGTGTAATCGCGGCGATGTCGCGGCGACCACTGGTGGCCACGCGACTCTGCAGATGAAATATTTTTTACGTTCGCGGGTCGCTTTTAGAACGCACCTCGTCGTCGTCGTCGGCTTCGGGGGCGAGCCGGCAGCGGCAACGGCAGCCATATGGTTCGCCCCGTGTCCCGCGGAAAAGCAACCATCCGATTAGCCTTCCTGACTGTGAGTGATGGATGTTGACTTTACATATATTTCCTCTTCGCCCACCCTATCGACTCGCGTACCCGATTGCAATATTCAGTGTGTACACTGCGTCGCGAGAGCGTGCGCCGGGGCGGTATCTCCATCCCGCCAGCGACTCTGCCGCCGTCTTCGTCCCGTGGTATCGGAATTTTCGGCTTTACATTGTTTCCTCTAATGACCGTTATCGCGTCCCGTGTAGTACCGGGGGATAAGGCGGACTTTGATCTTCTCGTATGTAACATCTGCGAGATATTGGGAAATGGAGAAATTGCGAGTATTTTGGAGGTCGACTATCCTGAGATTTTTTAAGATAAATCAAAAATTATTAAAAATAACCGAAGTTAGTTTTCACTAAGTTGCAACGCCAAATATTTCTGACTCTTTTCTTTATAACTTATAGTTATAAAGCTAAATGTAAAATAATTATATACTTGTGTTATTCATGTACACACACAAGTTTTAGGAACATAACGATACCAAATACAAATCAATTACGAAATACGAATACGAATAAAAATACAAAAGAACTGTGGCAAGAGAGGTTTTCCTCTTAGAGGGACACTATACAATAGCGTTAAATTAATAGGCTAGAAATCGTAATATTCCATATTACCCGACTATTCCACATTACCTGCATTTTCTCTATCTCGAACGCACGAGAGCTCACGGTGGAACACAATTTTTCGCAAAGAGGCGCGGTAATACATAAGCATTCCGGTGGGGAAGACACTTCGCAGGATGCTTCGTTTAAATCCGAGACGAAAAGTTTCCCACGGGGAGAATGTCGTCGGGATATCGCGGTAGCTTCTCCAAGCTATAGCTTGGAGTTCGAACATGAAGGGTTTCTTCGCAAAGTGAGTCTCGATGGCGTCTCGGACGCAGTTAGCGAAACTTCCTTCTCATTTAATTCCCGGTGATAGTTTCTCGTTTAATTGGAGAGAGCGGGATTGCTCTTTCTTTTCTTTTTATCGAATTTTCATTACGTCAAACCGTCACGTCGGAAATGCGCGCGCGCGAACGTACGCCTGAAAGCCCGTCAAAGCAGGTGAGTTTTTCGTGGTCTTTCATCATGTCGGACATATTGAAACAGTGAGAACGTACGAGGGCGAACAGCTTCATCTGCGGGATATCCTGCGGCAGGAGATGGGCTCTTATCTCTGCATCGCGTCGAACGGCGTGCCGCCGTCGGTCAGCAAGAGATATTACGTCAATGTCCGTTGTAAGTGTACACGCGTGCCACGTGCTGGCGAATAGAGCGGCTCGTACGACTCTAATTGCGTCTTTCTCGTTAAAGTCCAGCCGCTTATTAAGGTCTCGAACCAGCTGGTCGCAGCGCCGGTAGACAGCGACGTCCTCCTTCAGTGCTACGTGGAGTCCTCGCCGAAGGCTCTGAATACGTGGCATCGAAATAATGGTGAGCAACGTCGATGCGCAAATATCGTCTGATGCATTCCTCATTGTGGATCGAATTAGACGAAATGCCGGGATGATAGAATTACAAATGGAATGCTCTATTGTTTTTTCGCTGAATTATTACTTTAAAAGACGAAAATACGAGTTTCTCTTTTCACCTTCAAAAAATTACATTTTTCAGTTCTCTAAATATAGCGAGAGCCATTCTCCCGATACAATGTCGCCTTCCTCTGCTTCATAAAAAAGGTCATTTGATGAAAAATTAAGAGCAAAAAATGAATTGACCTTTCTAAATATAATAGGTTTGTCAAAAGTATAGGAACAGTGGAATATCTGTATGTATGATATGTTGAAAGAACGAAACAATTGATACCAAATATTTCAAACGAATATTATTTACAGCGATTGATTCAACCTGTCTACGTACAAAAGTGTTAACGCGATGTTACCGCAAGTTGAATACTTTATGAGACATTTCATTATTTGCATTCAAATATAGGTTTTTCGTTCGCTGTTTTTTTCGCTTCAGTAGCACAAACAATGCATTTTTTTTTACCTCTTGGATGACTTTCATCTTTTTCAACATGAAAAGGAAAGTGTCTAGCTGTCAAACGTAAAGTATTAGAAAATCGAATATTAATTACAGATTTTCACTTCGAATCATGCTTTTCAATACTTTTTAAAAATGATATTTTTAATTAGTCATGGTTTGAAGTCGAAAGATGGATTTAGAAGATTTCTTACTTTGAATGCTACTGCTACATTTATTTTATTCTCAATCAAATTCTTATCTCCAACGATGAGCAAAGAACAAAGGAAAAATTTTCGGATTTTACTAGGTGGCTATAAAATAATCGAACGCAATCTTAAAATTTTTGCACTGAAAATATCAGAATATAAAATAAAATATCTCGAAAAGTATTCATTTTTCGATGATTTTACCCTGGCTACTTTTATACACAGAATAAACAGAGGAATCGATTTATGTTAAAAAAAAAAACTATATGGTTCTACTTAGGAAAATGAAGTTGATTTTGAAACTAACCTTGAATTATTGACTACACAATGAAATTAAAGCCACCAATTTATCTCCCACTCCAAACCTTAACAACTTTTGTCCGAACCGTTTTTGCTTCAATTGCTTCGTTTTTAAGATATTCCACTGTTTCCATACTTATAGTAAATCCTGTACGCATCGATAGACAGGCAAAGTAGTCTCGCGATAGAATGATTTCCGAAGATATCCACTTCAGGAGTCAAACTGCTGGAGGACGAGAAGCACGATATATCGGAAGTAACGATCAACGACTATGCGTATCAGTTGAATCTCACCGTCAGACGTCTCGACCGATCTGACTTCGGTACCTACACGTGTACTGCCGAGAACGCTTACGGTAGAGCGGATGGCACCATAAGGCTACAAGGTACGGTAACGACCGATAACACACCACGAATCTCTCATATGCGGCAGAAGTAATCGCGAATTCATCACCTCGTCGAATTCACTCGTCGGAAAGTGAAGCAACGCCCGATTTTTCGCGAAATTCGTAAACACGATGCGAAGCTGCGCTGCGCGCAAAGGCTTCAACAGCGAGAACCGACCTATAACTTATAAGGCGCGCTTTTTACTCCTTATTCTAAATCTACAATAGATGTAAACCTAATAGTAAATCTTTATTCTTTTGTTCTAAATATTCAATTTTAACGTAATTTCTAGCAAAAAGCGTTCCCAGCACTATCAGACGCCGCAATTCCTAAGATTTAAACGTTATTATAACATTTAGCAACGCGAGAAACGCCTTCAGTCAAAAATTGCATTATATTTTATTACTTAGAGCGAAAGGTTATATATCCATCTGTTGTGGAGATCTATTTAAGGAGGTTATAAGATTCAGCATCGTCTTTTCAGTAACGCGTCAAAGGGGTCATTTTTAAATTTAGTATCCACGCAAAATTACTGTGATATATTATTTGATTTTCTATTCATTTTTGAAATATTCAACAAAATTAAAAGAGGGGATCAAATATTCCCGTGTTTCTCTACATAGTGCAAGTTCCATCGAATTCTTATCAAACTCATTTTATCTTACAACTTCCTTAACCCTTTTAGGACGAGGTTTTTTTAAAGAAAAGTTTTTACTCGAAATGATTTTATTGTGCTAAAAATTAGTTTTTGAATGATAAACCTCAAAACAATCAATAATATAGCGCTCGTCATTATATTCTTTGTATTTGAATCTAGACCTTTTGTTCGCTATTTTTTTTGCTCTAGTAGTACAAACAATGCATTTTTTTACCTGTCGGATGATTTTCATCTTTTTCAATATGAGAAGAAAAGTGTCTAGGTATCAAACGTAAAGAATTAGATAATCCGAGGTCTGTTAATTACAGATTTTCGCTGCGAACTATGTTTCTCAATATTTTCTCGATATTTCAATTAGTTGTAGTTTGAAGTCAGAAAATGATGGATTTGAGGATTTCTTATTTTGAATATTACTAGTACTTTTATTCTATTCTCGATTAAATTCTCATCTTTTTCCAACGATGACAATGAACAAAGAAAAAATTTTCGAATTTTACTGAATGACTAAAAAATAAGCGAACGTGATCCTAAAATTCGAAAATCGCAAGTATATCATGATAATAAAAAATCAGAAGTGGGTCATGATATGTATCAAAGTATAGAACCTGAAATCTTGGTTAAAACTTCACCACTGGAAAATATTAATCGATTCTCGAAATATTCGAGTTATTGAATATACTGTGCACAAACATAGATATTAAATATAGTTACTAAATGTAGCACGTCCTGAATCGATTAAAATGAACCGTACGAATTACGAATCGCGCCCGCCCCTCCCTCCGGCCCATTCTACATTACTAGATAATAACCCGAATCGTTTCCGTACCCGCGAAATTGAACTTACAGAGCTGCACTTGCCGCGACCCACGGTGACCTCCACAAGCAATACGGAGGTGATCGAGAAGCACACCTGGCGAAAGCAAACGGAGAAGAAAGGGAAGAAGTATTCGTACGTGGTGGATAAGCCGGACTCGGAGTTGAAGAACGTCGGCCACACGACGCCGATGTCCAGGAGAAACGTGTCCTCGCCGTCGAACGTCACGAACAAATCGAGGATGTCCGTGTTTCCGGCGCCGGCACCGGCGCCGGCACACTCGGCGCCCACGCAGTCGGGCGGTCAGAACGGCGTTAGATCATCGCACGACTCGCGACTGCGTTGCGTCGGTCTCGCCCTGGCGGTCCTGGTGATCTTAGCTCGTAGCGATTGAGACAGCCGACGGAGGTTTTCCGTGTGAGAAGTGCGAGAATCGTTCCGGGAATCGCGAAATTAGACTGTTCTCAGCATGATCTCGTTCGCCGACAGGTACATGCATGCACATGGATGAATTTACGTTCACGATTCTCTCTTGTATCGAAATAATGCTTCCCTTCCCTGTATTTTTGTCTAGATTTGTCTACGAGAACGTATGACGAAGGAAGCGCGAAACACATATCGAGAGAGCTTCGGTACTTCGCTGTAAATAAACGAAACATTTTTATGACAATAAATGTAGCCGCGTATATACCGGAAGTAGATTACGTCGTTAAAAGTGCGCACTCGCAATTGTCATGATTAACCAGTACGTATTATTCACGGGAACTACGCTTGTTTGGCGAAACTCAATTTTTCATTGGATTACTGCCGGTGAAAAAAAATGTGGCGACGCGCGATTTCGGTTGCAGCGGGAGGCAACGTACATACACACACACACATACAAATACACACACGCACACACATATACGCACGCAACACAATATTTGTACATTTTCTAGTGAGACAGACAAGTCGCGGAGAACACGAGTTCGCGAAAGTCTCGAGTTTTGATTTGTTCGTGTAATTATCGCGCGATTAATCGGTAAGCGTAGGTTATACATCGATTAGAATAAATCAAGAAGGGTCCATGTACCAAAGCCGACTGAAATGGATTCGTTCGTTCTCTAGGAGCCAGGCAGTATCTATGTCTAACGAGAGTTGTGGCATTCGTGTATATATGTATGACAATAAATGTTGTTTCTACTATCGCGCAAACTCGTCGTTCCACCTTCTTCGCGATTAATTATACAGAGTGCCTCAACGCTCCTTCTCTCCTTCGGACAAAGTCTTCCCTCGGATGTAATGTAACATTTTTAAGCCTTCCCCCTTTCTCCTATTGATATAAAACGTATTATATCGCGCGCGACTATTATCGGCAGTTCGCTAATGAACAGTGACACATAGTAAGATAGTATTGTCATTATTGTCAACACACACCGGAAACTGCCTGATATTAAGGTATTAGAAAATCAATAGAAAACATCTCGTAAAAATCTGGAACATGCGTAATCTCGAAATTTAAGAAATGGGAGAAATAAGATCACATTCCGAAAAATCACAATCTTGAAAATTTAAACCAGACAATCTCCTGAAATACAACTTTCCCATAATAGTGAATGTATGCAATTATACGGAAAAGTCACGATTCCGAAAATACCGCGGTAATTTTCCGAAATATCGGAAGAAATTATAACTTTATGAGATTTATTTTCTTCCAAATAGGTATGTTATGATACTACTGATATAATATCGATATATCGATATTTACTTTTCAACACCGGATATTTTTTTATTGTTATTTTCTTTCAATATTCCTATACCTATTTTAGTACCATTTTGTTTCGATATTTTTTTTTAGTTTTTTGCTCAGTAGATTTTCAAAATATCTTATATTTTTGCTCCATGAAAATTAGTGTAACATACAACTAATGTTTTAAACCTATCTTTTCTGATGATTTTTGTTACATTACTTTTACGGTTATTTATTGATTGCTGAAGTAAGAGAAAGGCGTCCGGATATTTTTGCAAATGTATGGAGTTGATTACGAGTATCATTTTATGGATATGTTGTTTTATTTTATTTTATTTCCACGTATACCACAATCATTTTTGACGTCACGCAACTTCTCGCTTCTGACGTTATCGAATAAGGACAGTTATAGGATTCGAGGACACAGGAACCTCAACACATCTTTTTTAAGGTTTTTAAATCACAAACCATAGAAAGTCTAGTACAGAAGATAGAAGTATCTTTATACTATAGTATTATTATGCGTAGTCGAAACCCTTAAAAGTAGCTTACAAGACAAACACATTCCCGATTTTTATATTTCCGCTAATTTTAAGTTTTTTAAAATTTCAATACCAGTATCAGTATCGATATTTCTGTTCTTATTGGTATCATCTAATGATAGTGATACTCTTTAATAGATACCCGCTTCAATATTATTATCGTTATTTTCATGACATCACAATGTTTTTACTTCTAATATTTCGAGAGATTATCCTAGTGTTCAGTTTTCGGGATAATTGCATGCTTTCGATATTTCGGGAAAATTGCACTTCGGAAGATTGTTTCGGTACTCAGTTTTCGGAACTTTTCGGGATCTTGTCTTATTTTTTGAATGGATACTTCTGATTACCTCTTTTTGAGTGGATACTTCTTTCAAGAATATGTATGTCTATCAAAATCTGTATTTATTATCTCACACATAATTATTAAGCGTGATTTTATACAATACCAATGTTCGGCTAATTGTGACATAGGAGTTTATAAAAATAAATGCGCAGAACTTCCAGTTAGCGAATTACATAGGCGGGTGGTTATCGGGTCGTTATCATCGACAAGAGGAAGAAGCCGCGAGGATGTGCCCGCCCACGTGCCGTTCACTAGCCGCACGAGAAGCGTCGTAGATGCTTAGTTGGTCGTACGGCTTCGTCGCGGGTGGATTCAACGACGATGAAGCGCTTACTACTAATTTGCACCCTTTGCGTTCTCCTCGAGGTCGCCTCCTCGGAGTCACCGTGCACGTTAATTACATCCAAGCGCGCGAACACCATCACATTCCGATGCACCCAATTAACGACCCTGCAAAAGTACTTGAACAAAGCGACAAGCAACACGACGAGCATTGTGATTTTCGATTCCAAATTGCCTAACATAGCCGGGTAAGTGAAAAATCGAAGGATCCTACGGAAAACGTTGAGAAACCAGTCTCTCGGAGAGAATAATAAAAGATTGTGTAATAATTATGTTATAGAAAAATTAGATTAGAATAATCGCATACGGACGTACAACGTAACGATAGGATATTTTAAATGACCATAATTTAAATTTCAAATTATAAAGGCTCCGATGGAAGGTCAATTGTCAATATTGGGCCGTAAGAAGCAATTAAGATAAAAAAGATTTAGCATAAATATCTGAAAGCTCGGATGACTGAGCACGAAAAAGACGCGAGTTAGAGAGAGAGAGAGAGAGAGAGAAAGAGGTAGAAAAAGTAAATTACGAACAATTGTTAATATTGGATCGTAAGAAACACAACAAGGATGTTTTTTAGTGTCATTTAATATTAATATCAAATTCTTAATATGATGATATATGAGAGGGTAAAAATTCGTATAAGCCAAACGTACCGGAATAAACAAACGCGGTGACACTTTTCCACGGCTAATTTACCCTCTTACAATCATATTAATAATTTAACATTATTATTATTATTATTATCACCCGGTAAACGGTAACATAATGTTAATGTTATAATCCCCCATTTAATAATGTAAATGCAATATAATACGTGTGTTATGTAACAGTTACATTGTTAAGTAGGAAATTATGACATTGATGTTATTGATAGTTGGTGTTTACTGGATAATATTAAATGGCACTAGAACGTCTGTATTGTGCTTTTTATTGACAATATTTTCAATAATATTTTACAACACTTACTATAATTACAATATTTTAAATAAATTATCAATATTTGCCCGATATTGACAATTGTAAATAATCTTTTTTCTACCTCTCTCTCCAAGATATCTTACGTCTTTTTCTTGCTCAACCACCTGAGCTTTCAAATATTTATGCTAATTTGTTTTAAGCGGAATTCGCGTTATGTACGCTCTTGTGCCAACACGAGGACATATTATCTTCATGTTGTTACTTTGTGATCTTCTTTTTGCCAAAGGCATAGTTTCGCGAGATTCGGCGCGACCTTAGTGATCCTAGATCTGCACGATTCGGGCATCGAGTCGTGCGATGCTATGGCATTCATAGGCCTCACGAAGCTGGAAAAACTGATGCTCTGGGGCAATAAACTGACTCTCGTGCCGGGGGATTGGTTCGTGAACACGCGCTCCCTGAAGACCTTGGATTTATCGTTCAACTTCATCTGGAAAATCGACTACACAGTCTTTCAAATGCTTCCTTATTTAGAGAACTTCTACTTTGACTACAACCAGCTCCACTATATCGACTACAATATGTTCGCCTACCTGGGTAATCTGAAGAATGTGAAATTCAGCAAGAACCCGTGGAACTGGGCGTAAGTTGCTTTATTATTAACTACGGCCAGTCCGACTTCGAAGTTTTACTTTTATACGAGCGTTCTGCGTGCCGCCAATCCCGCGAAATTTATTTTAACAAAAACGTCCAACTTTCCTCCCTTTTTCCCCCGTTTTAAGCGCATAAATCGATAGTTCTGATAAAATGAGATAAACGGCTCTTCGTGGACGTCCTATTTGTCCGAGGTTGCGCTGTGTCGTATGCCAAAAAATGCAAACGCGCGCACTGTGCTTCTCTCTTCAGGTACCGCGCTCGCCTGACGTGGCAATTGGAGAATCAGAAGGTCGAGGCGCCGGACGTGTGGGAGGATTGGAACTGGATGAACGTCGTCATCAAGGACTGCATCGAGAGCGGCCGGGGCGAGCTGCCGAGCGACAAGGTCCTCGACTGCGTCGTGGACAAGCTGCTGGCTTTCACGTACGAGACGTTCAACGAGCAGGAGAAGAGCAGCGCTACCGGTTGCGGCGAACAGGCTAGGAGACTGGTACGTTGCATGAGACCCACCAACGTCACCGGCAACAGCGATTACGAGACGGTGCGAAGGATCCTCGAGGATTATTCCGCCATCTTGCCGCCGATGGAAAGGGCGCTCAGTCCCTTCCCGTTGAAACGATAAACGGCGCGCTCTGGCTACACCTTCTCAGGGACTTCTCTTCAGGTAACCTCGAGACATGTCGCCTTATTAGATTAATTTATGATACCGAAACTCTCGCAGAACTTGAGGATGTATTGCACATAACTCAAAATAATGAAATAATCATGAAGAAATTGCAAATTGATCTATTATTGCATTTAAATGTGACAACAGTTTGACAAAAGTTTGACGATAATTCAGAGCCTGGATCGAAAGTTATTCCACTGTAAAGGAGGTTGTAAAGTGAAATAAGTTTGATAACAATTCGATGAAAATACTAATGGGTATTAATAGGCTGTAACTAATCCTTAATCGGCTTAATCGACACTTCTATGTAGGAACTTTCGATAGATAAATAAAAGAGAATCATTTAAATGTATTTCATGCACAACTTGAGTTTTCCTACAAAATACGGCTGAGGTGGAAAGAAGATAAAAGTCGAGATTATAAAATTTCATGAAAATAACTTGTTTAATATCAATTGTTTATACGTTAACGATTATATATGGAAATTTACAAAACGAACGTGATACAATTCGATTAGTACAAAGTAGCGCGCTATTCGTACGTTTCACAGTTAGAACGAAAATTCCGCAGTCGTTACTTCATTTAAATCAAACGTTGAAATTTAATCTTATTGCTGCTCGTACATGAAAGAACATCTCTAAAAGCGCATATCACTTGTGATAAACGTATCCGTTAAATACACATTAATTTAAATAAAATAACAATTCGCAACACAAACACTTTGATCGTCCATTGACGGTAACAAACGAAAAGTTTTACAAAATCTTTCAGTGTGCATGAAACTGACAAGTATCAGACTTTCTATTAAGTTAATATCATCATATATAAATAGAAATATCTCCGAAACATAGAGAACTCATAGTATCAATAAATGTTTCAAAGCAATCATCGACGCAAATGATCGTAAATATCGTGTGTTTGAATGGCATTTCTCATATAGATTAAAAATTTCATCGAATGTTACAATTTTGTTTTTTTTTATAAGTTCAAAGTTGAATAAATCAATGTTAAATACATCTTTGGCACCTGTTCGAAATTTGTCATTGTCACTGAGTCGAAGTTTAAAATCAGTTTCTTAACCCCGAAAGATTTCATTAAAATACAACTAATAATCACTAATTAATTCAATTCAGTTAAAAATCAAACAATAGCAATAGGGAAGCACATTCGAGCCTTCGCGTGCGACCACACCGGCAGGTTTTACACGCGCCAGCGATGGCTGATTAAAAAAGGAAGTAAATACGAACGACCGCAAATCTGGTCGTAAATTTAATTTTGCACTATTCCCGGCTACCAAGTAATCGGCACAGCAATCATAGGATTAACGCCCATTGTTGGCTGGATGTAATGGTCGGACGGTTGCTCCGCTCGGAAAATACCTGAAAAACAGAATTAAAGTGCGACGCATTATGTGCCACGGGAGATAAAAATATTTCGCGAGACGAGCGAAGCGCAAATAAAATTTCGCGGTGAACGGACTTGTTGATTATCGCGTCGGAAGTATAAATTTTATAAATATTTCAAATATCGGGCGCAGAAATGTGCGCGAGCGCTCCCTCCCGCCCTGCCCGCCCGCTGTATTAATCCGTGCGAAAACATTTTGTCAAAATCCTTTGATTTAACGCGCAAATAGAGAAGAAAATAATCACGAGCTTTTAATGCAACGAAAAGCTGGAATACGCACCGCCATTTGTGCCCGTCAAGTAGTGGTACATTTTCACTGACGCCGCGCTGATAGCTTTGTGCTTCGTCGTCATCGGCTCCCCTTGAAACTCGAATAGCATCGTCTGCTCCTTGTAGGTGGTTATCTAAAATCGCGCGACGGAAGAACGGAGTGTCATCGTCTAAAGGCCATTGTACAATAACGCCAAGTGTACGGTGAGACGTAAGCAGTAAGCTAATTGGCTAATTGAATTATTAAACGTAGTTTACAATGGGCAGTACGAGTATATTTATAAGAAGTAAGAATAAGAAACTGATCAATCATATTCGAATGTAAGCGGAATAATCGACTATGATTGGTTAATTTCTTACTCTTACTTTTTATAAATATACTTTTATTGTTCATTATAGACCATGTTTTAAATACCGTCTACAATAGCCGTAAAATATGCAGTAAGACGTAAGCTAATTAACCGACCACGGTCAACTTATTTTTGGAAGGTATGAATCCAATTGATCAATTATTTTACTGTTTATGTCTTACTACATACTTTACGACTATTGTATACGGCTTTTTACAGTTCAAGAATAACAGACTAGCCTATTATTTACGTCTTATTGCATATTTTACGCTGTTATAAAACGGCCTTAACACGATGAGTGACACAGGAACATAGCGGGACAGGCGAATTGCAAATTCATACTTACTTTGACCATATATTTCGTCGCGTTCTGTATCGGCACGCAGTTGAAGACGCACACCGCGTTGTACCGTTCCCTGATGAGGTTTTGCAAGATTTTCATCTGCACCAGATGAACCCCTTCGTCTTCGTTCACCTTTGCATGCGCCTTCGCCCCGCTCTTCTTGCACTGAGCCTGCCTGAGATGCGATTTCACCTCACTTGATACGCTCGAATTGGCCACGGCCTCGCGAATGTGCTTTTGCCTATCTATAAGCTTAGATGCTCCGATAGGCTTCGCCCAGCGCACCTCCCAGCCTTCTTTCTCGACCACGCTGTTCGGCTCTGAAATAAATACGCGTGCACTAGGGAATTAAATCCGGGATCGATACAAACACGCGCGTGTAATGAAGTCCTTATTGTCGGGGCCGGAGATGAATCAATGGCATTAATTCAATATGTTTCGATTTGTAATAAAAAAAAAAAAAAAGGGAAAAAAACAAACGTGACGGGGGAAATAATTTTATTAAAAATCGTCATCGAAAATATTTCATAAAAAAGAATTTATCGAAAAATAATTTCCAGACTAATTTCGAGCGGTGCGCGTTATTAAAAATCGCGAAATACCAGGGACCGCGCAATTTGACATGTATTCATTAATTTCTCCCACTGACTGCTCTATGTCTTTCCTTTTTTAGGACTCGTCGCACGTCCGCCGAAGTCGTCGCGCGTCACGTCGTCCACTGTGTTAACGTTCGGCTTCGCTCCGACTCTGATTGACGCCGCTCGCAATACTCACTCTGCATTATGTCCATTACGGTCTGCGCGGCTTCGCGATTCTCGTAGTGAATAAAGGCGAAGTGATTGATCTTCTTAAGCTTCAGTATTGGCACATTCGTGTGCCTGTGAAAAATCTCCCTCACCTTTTGCTGCGACATTTCAAGCGTGAGATTCCTCACGAACAGGGCCGTCACCTATTTGGATGCGTAATATTGAATTAGTACGAGACCGTCTCTACGCGATCTCGCCGTTTGCGCGCGCCAGGTATTCGGTACACTGTCGATTTTACAAAATACCTCTACTTTGTTACACCATGCGCGTTTCCACTCGAAATGGAGGTTTCTCCGGATTAAATGCTTTTTTCCGGAGAAGAACTGTTTTTTGCCAGTGACACATGCGAGTGTACTCTTCGATTAAAAATAGTCCATTTGTTTAACGCGTAAAGAACGAATTTTTTTTACATAAAAATTATTTCACACTCGACATTATTGTTAAAACTCCGAGGAGTTACGTTCGTATGTTAGAAAAAAACGTGTACTTTTTTTTTTCAACGGTCGGGCAAAAGAGCGATTAATAAATATGCATCGAACAGGGCGGGGCGGATGCAGGGTTTTATGTTTTTCATTTTTCCTGATTCGTTGTTGTGTGTTTCTGCAATTACGCGGAGCGCGAGATACGTGCTCCAATTTACTCAAACCTCCATTTCGGTAATACGAGTGTGCGTATATTTGTCGGAACATAGTAGTATCATAGTATCATATTCTCATTTCTTCTCCCTCATCGGCCATTACTCAAATATCATCCAATTCTCGCTGCATAACGAACCAACGAGACACCGTCGAATCGCGAAACGACCGGAGCGAAAAAATTCGCGGACTCGATTGAAAGGCGGAGAGAACCGGTAAATCGCGCAAAAGGGCGACGGGATCGCGAACATCACCGTTTTCATGATGTCCTCGTCGATGGGGTCGCCGGGCTCCGGGTCCGCCCAGTCGACGGCGATCTCGTGGTCCCACAGCATCACCTTTCCCGGTATCAGCTTACGCCGGGCCATGGCGGCCGCCCGGTGGTCCTTGAACTCGACAAAGATGAAGCCGCGGTTGAGGCTGCGATCGTGCGCGCTCGGGTACAGGTAGATGTCGACGATGCCGTCCAAGATCTTGGTCAGTTCCGACATGAACTCCTCCTTGCTCTTAGTCTTGGGCACGCCGCCGAAGAAGAGCCGGCAGTTATCCATGGACTTGACCACGCCGATGCGATGCCCCGGCCGGAGTTCGTGGCCGTCGAGGACCGAGCAGGCCTTCCGCGCGATCCTCGGCTCCTCGTACAGAGCGAACGCGTAGCCGCGCGTCGACCCGGAGAAGTCCAGCATCAGCCGCAGCTCCAGCAGCCGGCCGACCTTCTCCAGCACCGGCATCAGCTCATCCTCGTAGCAGTCGCGCGGCAACCGGCCCAGGAACACCTCTGCGCCCTTGCAGCGTTGACGCTGACCGCGCGCCACCTCCGGTGCCGTTAGTCGCCGTTGGCCGTTCTCCTGCGGGGAAGGATTATCGGGTATTTTCTCTTCCCTCCTTCTTGCTTTCTTTCTCTCTCCGCTCCTCTTTATTTGTAAGCGACCGGTATAATAGGATCACCGGGGAGCTGGGAATTTTGAATTCGAAATTGTGAGAGGAAAAAAGAGAGCTTTTTCTCACCGACGTCGACTTTCGCCGCGCGGATTCCCCCGCGTCGTATTCCTTTTGCACGCGAACGGGATGGCAAAGAGAAAGGGGCGAGGGGGGGGGGGGGNAAGGAACAAAAAATTTTTCACCCACGCGGACTTTCGAGACCTTGTACACCGGGCAATGGGGGGGATGATCATATTTCCTTGCGTGGAACTGGGATTGTAGATAAAGGAATTAGGACACATTTGACATCTTCAGGACGAAAACGTCATAAAACCATTTTCGAACGATTCTTTTATCGGTGACATTAATTTGCACGGGTGCACAGCTGCGCTTTTAATTAATAACAGCAAGGTGAACGTTTTTAACATATCCAGAAAAGTGAGATTGGATTTGACTCCATGCTCTATTTTGTTGATTTTTCATGTAATTCATGTTCAAGAAGAAATAGAAAATGACATGAAACATTCCTTAACTCGGGAATAATCATCTCAGGTCATTTAGACCCCAATTAAAAGTCGCTTTTATTAACAAAATATAACATATTATCGATTGTACTATGATTTATTATTATTTAAGGAGATATAAATATTATTCGCTATTTTTTGAAAAAAATGAGGAGAAACTAAAAAAAATCATTTAAGAAACGGAACAAGTACATCAAGTGTTTGTGATCATTTATGTAAAGAAAAAAAAAATAAAGTAAATATTCCCAGATTAAGAAGAGAAACAGCATGTCCCGAGTCGAAATGTTGATGCTACTCTGACGCTCTTAAAAATGAGGTCTGTTCGTTTTCGCTGCACTGGTGAACTAGTGCAATAGGTTGAAGTGAGAAAACATATACTTGTCTCGCTTCAATTTATAGCACTAGTTCAGCGGTACTGCGAAAACGAAGACCCATGATTTCATAACGTCTAAAATCGGGACATAAGATGTCTTTAACCGCTTGAGTCCCAAGCAGCGCGATCGCGCTGTTGAGATTTTATGTCGAGAAAACCCAGCACATTTCGAGCATTGTGAACAACTGACGGTGCGTTACCGATTGTCGAAGTCGCAAGCTCAGATTTATTGACGCAAGTACATCACACAGCTCCTTTTAATGTAAATAGTACATTTTACAATATGTAGAATAATACTATAATAATGCAATAATACATTCCAAAATAAAAATTTTTATTTCATTGTTATCTTCTCAATAATTTTTATCGAACAAAACTCGAAATATTTATAAATTTACAGTACGCATATGTAATAATACAGATGTATTTTATAAAATAACGAATTACAAATTAACAATATTTTTGTGTTATGGACAAACAATTTAAATGGAGAGTAACACTTACGGAAGCATACGTCCGATCACTTTGCAAACTGCAATAAATATGACGGAGCGATGAGAAAAAGACGAGAATCACGTTACCTAACACATACAAGAAGCGCTATTGCGCCGCTTGGTTTTCTCGACATAAAATAAAACAAGCGCTATCGCGCTGCTTGTGTCTTTTCGTACTCATTTAATAAAAGCGCGGTTGCACTGTTTGGGATTCTTCGACAGTGTTTTTTCAATACCCCCCAGGACTCAAACGGTTAAGATATCTTGAAGACATTTTTAAAATGTCTTAGTTACAGGCGCCTTCAAAAACGTCCAGTAACGTCTTATGTCCCGATTTTAGACGTTATATTGTTTGGGTTATATCTATTTAGCCTACAGACTAATAAAGATCTTTAGCGATACTAACATTTTTTTAAATTTCTCTTTTGAACCTTTATTTCTACAAATTGAATTTTAATGCTATCTGCAGCAACCTATCTTGACGCTGAAACAATGAAAACGAAAATTTAAAACATCAAGGTCAAAGTAAGGGTTATATTAGAATTGAAATTGAACCTATTTTGCTTAGTTTTTACTATATTGCAGAATTAAAGGTTTAACATAGTGCCAAAATTTCGACTCGAGATATACATGCTGTAAACAAACAAGTCATGGGATCGCACCCGAACTCCAATCTTGTAGTTAAAGGGTTAACTTTTCATCCTGAAGATTATATATTGCACAGGCGTAATTTACTATCAATCATTCGTCCTACGCATCGCACGGCGAAAAATGTGTGCGTCTTCTCCGCGAACGTTGACTCGCGGAACGCTCACTACCTGTGCCCAATGTTACACGTTCACCTTCTTGACTATACATTTGCAGTATAAACGATGCAACTTGTGCACCTTGAATATTTCCGTCATTTTAAATAATTTCACACAGAGGAAGCCCCGTGCACCCGAGTCCGCGATACATTCTCCATAAATTTCTTTCTCCCGGCGTTCCCAGAATCACGTTTAATTCCTTTGTAACTTCGTCTCGTCTATTGTCGAGTGGGTAACAAACGTAGTTCGCGATAAAAAGAATTCCTTTTTATTTACCGAAACTCACCGTTTCACCTTAACGAGCGCCGAGATCGGCCACAAAGAACATTTGTACCACCGAGATCATCGGAGAAAGAAGACATATTAGCTAAGTAACGGTGACGTTACGTCAATGTTATTATTCCGTCAATGTGTATATTATACAATATAATTTCCCGTTGAACGATATAAATGTTATATGTTCAGATAGCAATAAGAAGTTTTGAGATATTGTTAAGACATTTGTTTAGAATTATAAAACATCTAAAGGACGTTTTTGAGATATTTTGTTTAGACATACGTGTTGCTTGAATACGACATGTATTACACTACATTTGCATTGTTGAGTTGAAAATTTAATTTAGTGGGACAATTTAATATATGATATATAACATTGAAGTAATGTTACTATTATTTGGTGTTTGCCGAGATGCTAATAAGAAGCAGAACATTTCATCACTCTACCTGCACGAGCTCGTAGTGCGTACGTTGCAGCATCTCCAGGAGTCGCAGGGTACGTCGACACTCGCCGGTGAGATTGTCCGCATCATCACCCATCGTCACCGTGTATTCGTGGCTTACTGACCCGTCACTCGAAGAAGCATAGCGGGTTGCGTCGACTGCAGTCAGACGAGCACAGCGAAATAAAGGGAAATGGGGCCTCGTCCGTTTCCAGGAAAGTGCCCGGACGGAGTACTGAGAATTTCGATGCTTATCGTTCCAAGAAGTTCGACGGTTTCGGTGGTTCAATTTTGCACGTGTTTTTGAATTTTTAAATTTTGCATTTGCGAAACTACTCGCTTCGTATCTAATGTTTTTATTATTATTATTAATCATATGGAATATAAAAGACTTTAGAGTTTTTATCGTTATTCTATATTCTCTATTTTGAAAGTAGGCGAATATTCGCTGAATAATTTTGATACAAATATGCAAATTAGGTGATTATGTGTATATGTTGGAATTGTTTCGTTTAAATAGTAAAATATTCTTTTGTAGTAAAATACGGCAGGATATTACAATACGGAAAAAAAATTGGTTGAATTAACATGAGAATAAACGAACCGAATGCGTTTTGATTGAAGGAATTTCCGGTTTTTATGAATCAAATTTGGTTCTCAAAATCAGGAATTCTATTCCCTTCAACGAAAATACGTTTGTTTCGTTCATTGTTACGTTAATTAAACTAATCTTTTTTCTCCATGCGCAAACGCGCATTATTACATGAAAAAATAAAATTAAACTTATTTTCAAGATTACATAAATAACGCGACGCTAATTAATAGAAAAGAATATTATGTTTGAGAAATGTATATATTGATATATATTTAAACTTAATGTAAACATATTTTCACGAAATCATGTGGATATGATTTGCACAAAATTCCGGTTGTAGATTCTTCCTTTTTAATTTTTCTCATCGTGTATATTTTTTAGAAAAAGAGAAAGGTAGATGTCAGTGCTTGCTGGAGAAATATTAGCTGATGGTAAATTCCAGTCGGTAATAGATGTGGAATTTTATGAAAATCGCATGTACAATTACACGTTCAATTACACAATTAAACGTTTCATTCACGTCGTGAATCTATAATTTATAATAATGTGTAATACTTTATATTGTAATATCTATCCAAGGGCATAAATTCTCGTATATATATATATGTAAAATATTAAAATATATGTAACATTAAGTGTGTCAGTGGCATAGTAAAATTCATCGAGCGCGAGCGGAGTATGGTAGACAGCGCACCGATCTGTGCCACGCTTTTTAGAGGTCCCAGGTTCGATCCCTGGCAGAACCAAAGAAAATTTTCATTCGCTTGTAGCTCCTCTTCGGTGGCCTTGGTAAACCACCAAGAGGTGGTAGTATTCATGCCATGAAAAAACCTCTCTCCAATTGCCGTTCGTAACCGGCGTTTAAACTTTGTAGGTCCCGTATGCATGTGTATAATCTGCGTGTGCACATGCATACGTAAGAGAAAGAGGGATAGGCTCCCAGGCCTCTGCATGAGACTGTAGCGCCAATGGAAGAAGGTAGAATTCATCAGGATATCTATAGAATGTACTACGCAACATATTCCGGATATCATAGCTATGTATCTAGTAGTAAAGATTAAAAACATATATCATTAGTATATAGAAAAAGCATTTAATAAAAATATAAATTATTACATAGCGAATATTTGTAATATTCGCAAGACGCGCATTAGTTCTCTATTTACATCGTAATTTCAAAGAGACATATCAATATTGAATAATAAATTAATTCATTAACCCTTTGGCATACAACGATGTCTGAGAGGCGTCATTCGTTTTGGGTGTCATCGTAGACGTTGACGTCTACCAGAAGTCAAAAACTTTCTCCGATGTAGATATTATTGTTCATTAATATCATACGTTAATCTTATTAAATTCGCTCTGTTTCTAAGTTTACATAATTGTTTAATTCAGCAAAATTAAGTAGTATTTTTAGATCTCACTGAAATAAGTTTTTTTTGTATGTCAAGGGATTAATCATTAATAACAGTAATGAAGCACCCAAAGGTGCGAACATCAAAATTGGTTTTCTCTTTTCAATATCATAAGCTCTCCATATCACAATCTATACATTTGAGATTTTCAATCATATTGAATAGCGCCTTTTGCGACACAGGTGTTTCGAGAGTCGAATTAAATTTTTTGTAACTTTCGACCAGCTGATGAATTTTGTCAGTGATATCCGGAGATGTGACGCTATTCTCGATTATGTGACTCAGCTTGCCGACATCATCCACACAGGTCGAAAATTGTTCTATAAGCTGTAATTCCTCCTTCAATGCGGCATTCAATATAGTCGCCTGGAAAAAAACGCCGAAGTTATATAATGGTTAAATGCTTCAGTACCTATATATACTGCGTATATTAAGTGGCAGCAGCTACATAGTTTCCTAGTAGTTAAAGCCTCGGTCTGTAATTCACGACGCAAATCTATTTGTAATTTTATATGCTATGTAATACAAACAACATTACTGAGATCTGCAGATGTACATCATAGATACGTCTAAAGAGAGTTTAAGAATGTCTCTATGTACGTACTCTTTTAGCTCTCTGTTGAAGATCAGCCAGTTTCTTTTTTATACCTTCAAACTCTGACTCTGTATACTGTGTTGCCTGGAGTTTATCTTCATCAGACAAAACATTAGGAGATACAGCGATGAATCTGTCGATGTTATTCTAAAGAATATGAAGCAGGAATTAATGTATTACCTGCATGATTTTAATTTTTAATCTGATAATTGTCAGACACACACAAATCGTGCATTTGAAAAATAGATTACCTCAATGTTTTTTAAATGAGGCAGGGAAGCTGCTTGATACACTTTTATAAGTTGCTCTTCGTTCATCCTCAGTACCGCCAGTTTTTCAGACTCTAATTTATATTTTTTTTCCAAAGTTGCACACAACTTTTTGCTCCTGGATTCTATTTTCTCCATTATGATGCTTTTGACTACAACAGACAAGAAAGAAAGCAATGAGAGACCATTATAACTAGCCAAGCAGATTCTTTACTGATAATTATATTGTATTATCACTTAGCTTGAAAAAAAGTTGCTATATTTCTCATTATTTCTACAAGAAATACAATCAAACATAAATGAAGTAAAATCTAGCTGTGTGTTAAATTGTTAAATTAGAAATGTATGATCATAAAGAGTTAAACACACCTACCTGATACAGTTCTATAACATTTCTTAAATAATCAAAATATTTGCTTCACATATACCCAAATTAAGAGGTCAGATTTAACTCAAACATTTGGATCTATATGAAGCAAACACTTTGACTATTCAAGTAGTTTTATTTATCATAGTACTATATTTATTATATCAGTCATGCTTGGCTTTTCACAAACTTATATATCAAATTTAACAATCAAGCAGCATCTCAGAATTAGATAACAACCTGTGCAGCTTACAAAAGTAACAAAACAAAAGTTGCAAAACAAAAGAACCAAGGGAACAAAGCAAGTGCACGACGCTCGCAACGAAAATAAGACCATAAAGAAGAAAGCTAGTCGAGAGGATGAAGGGCGCTTTCAGGGACACGTTTCCGATCTAGCTATTTCGATGTTCCCGCCAGTCCTTCGCGTTTTTTTTGCTGTGTCCTCGGACACGGGGAAGAAGTTCAGGTTCGCGTCGCTCTTTGTGATTTTCTCTCCCTCTCTTTTTCTCTCTCTCGCGACGAGGATGTCCCGGTCGCTGGACGAGTGTGACTCTAGTCATGATCGAGCGCCACATGAAACTAGAGCACACCCGTCCAGCGGCCCACAGGACCGCTAACAGGGATCCGCCGCTCGGTGGACGCGAATCTGAAAGGGCATAAAAGACGGCGACTTACGAGTCGCGTACACGGTCCTGGAATGGAAGCCGAACAGCTGCATCTCGTATTCCTCGCGTTTGTGCTTCCGCGACTCCGCGCACTCCATGTCAGCAAGCCGGACGAAGACCTAGGTGAGTCGGGTTCGTTGCGTTCGGCTTCCCCCAGAGCGCGGCGACGGCGAGGATGACGGCGGTGGACGGCAGCTGCTCGCTCCTTCCGCACGGGAACACCTTGACGTCCGTTAACAAATGAACATGGCGTCCTTCTGCCTGCGTACGAAAGCGTCCTTTGTCCCGTCGGCGTTCGTCAAAACACGTTACGATGCCGGCGTGGGGCGCCAGGCGCCGGGCTCCATCAGAACAGCCAATCGGCTCGGTCGAAGAGTTCGCCAAAACGACGTCCCGACTGGCTGTTGCGAACTCTCGTTCGATGAGAAGGCGACCTAAATTTCGCAATCGTCGAATTTTAGTTGAATTTCAATTAGGAATCAGCGGTATAAATGATAAGTAAAATGTACACACGCATACACGATTTTATTTTGGTTGGAATATTATATTCGGTTCATACGGTGTATTCGGCTTAGTTGACAAGAGCTCCGCTAGGTGGTAGCGCCTGTGTTCCCGCAGGTTTCGAATCAAACGGCCGACCTCCATCTTTCTTTTCCCGTAGCCTGCTTGAAATGGAAGTGCCGCGGCATGCTGCCGATTTAAAGAGGAAATAAGTAGGCAAAATAATGTGAGTGGAGCGTGTATACACTTGCATTTTACTCGTAGTCCATCGTATTATGTCGATTATCGTATGCAACGTAAATCGAATTTGATTTGTATCACGGTAACCTCTCACGACAATCCGACAAATATCAGTCGATCATTAGCGATTTATTTATCTTGATTAGACTTTCCGTTGGATATCGTAGCGCATATTTATCATATTCACATCTATATCGCACTTACGTAAAATCTAAATGTACGAGAAGTACAAAAAGAGTGGCACTGTTTATGTAATATAACGTTTTGAGGACGTAACTTCAGATATTATTATCTGTTATCTTCGGAAAAATGAACGTCTGAAATTAGCCGTACATCCAGTTATACTGAGAAACCCATTTAGTTGAATCAATTAAATTTTTGCTTGACTATGGGCAAACGAATGTTTTTGCTGTAATAACCAAAGTTTAATTGTCTAAATCGAAGGTTTGGTTCTTTGAAATTTCACAGAATTAGTTCAAAGATTTAGATCTTTGGTTCAGAAAACCAAACTTTGATTCTTATATCAAAATATTTGTTTGCCCATAATCAAATAAGAATTTAGTTGATTCAACTAAATGGGTTTCTCAGTATACTGAAAGACTTAGGTAATCAAAATTGACTAGCGCCGATATTTGCGAGAATAAAGATAATCTCTCGAAGATAATGGCTCGAAGATAATGGCTCAAGAGAGGTCTCTTGTTTGTTATCGTAGCTCATAAAAGCGGAAATCACGGCACCGTTCACCTGGCGGACGCTAATTTCGAACGTTATCTGTCATGTTTTATTAATGCAGCTGAATAAAAACTGCTTCCTGCATCGTAACTTCCTACGTAGATATTCTCACAAAGATAGATAGAAAAACTAGGCAAATTAAAGTGCGTCATTTATAAATGAGTCAAGATTAACGTGAATCAGAGAAAATCGTTCAGGCATTAGATTTGCATTTTTTATCGATGCCCTTCGTACCGCAAACTATTATAAAGCGATGTGACTGAAAAACTGTCGATTAAAATGTTAATTTCTCTTACGATTGTACACGTGTCTTTATAATAACACTAAATATAATAACACTAATTATGTCGCAATAAAGCGTGGTCGGATGAATCACGTCTCTCATGTGTGTATTCGCATATTTGCGGTGAATATTGGAAGAACATTCCTAATGTAATTCATTTCTTTCGTAACACTCCTCGATGACCATGTGTCTATTTTCGGGGAGGAGGTAATTCGCGATGAAGCATGCTCCTTTCATGTTTCCTGCAAAGTAGAGTTTTCCTCGAATCTATCGAACAAATTGATACGAGACCGGATACGGTATTTCTCGTAAAAAAGTATGCACACTCCGTAATTCCCCTTGAAAAAAAGTGGCTGTCATCTGACCAATTGTGCACCTTCTGCATATGACATCATTATTTTTTACGGTTGCGTTAGTCACGCCGCGTTGATAAGTCGCGCTCATCCGACATAACGACGCATTACGTCGATATAGCCAGCTCCAAAAAAAGGAGCTTGTTTAACGTCGCAGTTGCATGCGTTCAAAGTGATTCATTCCATCAATGCATGTAGTTATTGATATTAAGACCGCGGCAATGGATAAATTGAAGACTCGAGCGAACTCGAGGAAACGCGAACAGAATGTTAGCTTCTTTTCCCTTTCATGAAGAAGGAAAATTCATTTTCCGAAGAAGAGAGAAGGGACTGATTATGTTCCGAGAACATGTACTCGAGCATGGAGACACGGTATTACGTCGTTCGACGACGAGCACCCACTTGTATGATGTGTGTAATTACGAAACAACTTAAAACGAAGTATTCGTTAAGCGATCGTAGAACCAGCCCGTACTTTTCGATTGTTGTGCGAAATTTCCTGCGTATGACTCACATTCGTCTTTTTCGTAGGTGAAACCGAACTCGACGTAGAAGAGGAATGCTGGACACAGCTTTCGAGGAATAGGACAGGAATAGTACGTTGTCCTTCGCCGATGCAAAAGTGGTATCGGTGTTTACATAGAAAGCGGGAATTAAACGTTCATGCTGTCATCATGCCTTACACGATAAGGTGAATGGGTAAAGCGACGATTGCGAGGCGGCGGTGTTCGTCACATACGAATCGGACCCGTACACGAGTGCTGGTAAGTGATTGCCGGTGTGCCGCTTGCTTTATGCTAAGAATATTCACGCGAGGAAATCTACCACCTACATACTTACGATCGACTCCAGTAACAATGAGGCTGGAACGGATTTATCGAATCATAAAGCGTTGGGAAACGGGCGATATAACTATTATAATGAAATTCCGAAATGTGCTGTTTGAAATAATGCAAGCTGTGAGAGGCTGTATAGAAGCGACATATACATTATTCCGACTCACAGTCCGACTCTTACGGTGAATCTGGCGGAGAAGCTCTCGCACATGCAGCTTCGGACGAATTAATTGGATCTCTTTCGTTACCCCGTTTATTTTTATTTATTTTACGTTAAGCGGGTCTCAAATCACGGATTACGATCTTAAAACTTCCAAATCTGACGATTGCTATTAGACGGTAATCTCTTACCGTCGCGTGCGCACATGATAAACATACCAGGTCACGATAAGACTATGTGGATTCGCGACAAGTTAATCTTGATCCCAAAATGCAATTAAGTTTAAATCGGCTTCTTATTAATAACGCGTTTTATCCGTTTCCGCATGTTTCCTCATAACTTAAATCTCAGTAAAAATGCAAAACTCCAATCCTCGATATCGAATGTAATCTTATTTTATATCTCGTTACGCGTCATTTCCTGATAATGCTCAACGAAACTAACATTAGGCGTTCTCAACTCAATTTCGCAACCAATAAATGCAATTTTCGTCCGTGGAAGTTTTCTTTTTTAACAAACATCAACTACACTTTCGGAACTTTCCATAAAATTTTTCCATAGAAATGATAAAAATCTTTTATTGCAAAATAATTGTCCATAATATCAAACTGGAAGTACAATGCAATTAATATTATTTGCTCAAATTAAGTAATATAAAGAGGGTTATTTAAATATAATATAGTATAATCAAAGTTGGGTAAATTAACTTAAGTTAAAAGTAATTATGCAAAATTATATGTATGAACCTAACATAACTAATTTTTTTCTAAACTATACATATATGTACATATGTATATATAGGATATATGTATAGGATGAGATTATCATATTTATTTTTTCATGATCTCATCCTAATATTTTTATACATAGAATAAACAGAAAAATCGATTTGTATGAAAAAAAACTATATAATTCCATAAAAAAAATGAAGTTGATCTTGAAATTACCTTGACAATACAACGAAGTTAAGATCAGCAAAATATGTCTTCCTCCAAATTTTACAATTTTTGTCTGAAACATTTCTTTCTATTTTGTTTCATTTTTGTTATATTAAGCCTCAACTTAAATGCTCCACCCTGTGTGTGTATATGTATGCGTGTAGTTTTGCATAATTAAATTTTAACTTGAATAAATTAATTTAATTTTAATTCAACTTTTAATTAGTTTGTTTATTAAATTACTTTTAACTGAACTTCAAAAAAGAAGTTGATTTACCAAAACCTGATTATAATATATATGACAAATACCGCGAAATATATGTGTATATATATTTAAGCACACGTGGAGCAACGCGCGGCTACCCACACATACGGCACACACATATCCCCACTCGTACGTGCGTGCATGGTGCGCGCCGAGTCTCGCCGACTGCGCAACCGGGCCGCGCAAGTCCCCGTAAAAAGCCGGGGGCGCGATTCCGCGTCGTTCTTCGGCTCTTCGTATACCACGCGCGCGCTCGTTCGCTTGCACGCTCAGTTTGTATTCAGTATTCGACTTGTTTCAGTTCGACCGCGGGTGGTTTGCAGGGCGTTTAATCGGAGCCGGTTGTACCTCGTGTGTCACTCGCGATCTAGAGACGACGCTCACAGTAATCAGAGGAATTTAACCTTCGCGCGACATTCGGGACGATCGGACGGTCGGAGGGAAAGGAGTGGTGCGCATTGTGCCATTAGTTGTCAAGTGGTTTTAAAAAGAAGCGGAGCCGACGACGCGGGAAGATGCTGCCGCCGCGAATACTCGGTCTGCTGGTGATTCTCCTCGCCGTGCAGGGTGAGTTGTTTTATGAACAGATTATTCTTCTCGATTCTCGTCTCGGAGCGTCGCGCGTCAATTCGAAGTGCGCGATCGTGACTTTATATGTAAATAAAATGGCGAGAAACTTTGCAAAACAGCGATCTCTTGCGCGTCATGAGTGAATTGTTTTGAAGATAGACAGCAATGAATTCGTTCGTTCTACGATAATTTACATCACGTGCTGACAAATCTCTCTTTTAAAATCTCTTGAAGTAGAAATGTAAACATTTGAATTCTCTCTTTTTACAGTTTCTTGATTTTTTAAGATTTTAAGACAAGATTTTCTTGTGCACTGACAACTTCGAAGTTTTCGTAAGTCAAAACCGTTTATCGTAAAGCACACATTGATAAAATTAATATCTCCGACACTGTTCAAATATTTTCTTGAGTAAACGTCACTATTGTGTGGTGAACAATGTAATAGTTGACCTGAAAAATGTGTCTTGTAATTTCTTGGGAACGTTAAAGACACAGAGAAAAAAGTTTCTTCCGATTTAGTATATGTGTTTGTTTGACTTTGATTTGTTTAATATAAACAATGTAATTTAATCTCATATATCATTTTATTTCAATGAAAATATTCTTTCAGTAAAGCAAACGATGTTTTCCGATAACAAACACGGTATTATTCAGAAGTATAATATTCCGGTTTCAATAAAAAAATTTATTTTATTATATATTAAATATTGTTCCACTGAAACAATGGAGTTCTTTGATTTTTCTGACATAGTATTATTTCTTTCAAATAACTTATTACTTGGGACAGCTATTATAATGTTTAGACGAAAGTACAAAAGAAATATGTTATTTGACGTAAAGGTATATATGTTTGAAGAACCAAATACTTAATACTTAATACAAATTCTGTTTGTTGAATCCAAACATTTGTTTGTTTGCTCTAATCCAAAAGACAAATTTGTCTCGATTAAAGAAACTTTATTAAATCCAAAAAAATCTTTTTCTCTGTGTATATTGACATACACACGTAAACATACGTGATATATATACACATTCACTTCGCGTGATACTAACCTATCAAAAGTTGATTGGACACAATAACAGCAAATAAACATAACCAGAACATTTCCCATTACCCTGAAATCTTTTCGTTACTCTGAAATTTATGAATGCGCCTCGAAGGCATGATTTTTGCAAGAAACGCCGCGCCTATAGATACACGTTGTAGACGACAATATAGTATTTGATTAAAGCGCAATAATATGAGCTTAAACTAATCATTACGCCATCGAGGCGAAATAATGTTATTGATCAGCGCGCCGTTGCTCACCGAGTCTCACCGACACGACAAAAATCGAGATTGCGCAAACTCAATTGCAGTGCCGGATCTCTTTCTCTCCCTCTCATGCTGCGTGATTTATGCAAATAAGGAACTCGATCGAACGAATTCATCGATGCGCGACAGCTCCACGACGAAACGTGTCTTGCAACCGAGAAGTAGAAGGACGTGAGTCAAAGAGCGATTGTTTGAGACTTCCTTCACGAGTCTCTATTCGTCCTTTTACCTTCGAGTTATTTTACTCTTTTTCAAGTTATTTCGGTGCAAAATTAAGAAAGAAAGAAAGTGAGGATATACGTGGAAGCGTCAATCCAATTTGTTTAATACACCGACGGAAAATTATAGTTATTTTCAACGCCAAACGTATTTTATAATAGTAGCAACATGCATATAATGTTGTTATCACTGACACTGTAATAACACTTACTAGAAAAATGTTTCTCCTCACTATTTTTGCAGTTAAAATTAAAAAGAGTGTGTTTAGTATCTCGAAAATAATTATAATTTTCTATCAATGTGTATGCATTCCGTATTTTTTTGCGAATTTTGTTTTCTTCGTCATCACGATCTAAGTATGCGAGTCTCATAATCTTTGGACTCCGTCCATTCTGCTTCACGCATATAGATATCGAAATGAGCAAAATCGCGAATGCTTAAGTCCGCGTTCGTATTCCGCGTTGAAGCATGAAATGTGGTCTTTTTATTTTTAATGCGCGGTCAGATTGCAATATCGTTTCGGTCCACGGGACGATTAACACAATTTTGAATCGGAGCGTCACATTTAGCGCGCCAAATACGGAGTGTAAACGCGGACCTTAGCATCCACCGTAGAGAAACGGCCGCAACAATAGCCGTCATTGTGCGTGCGACTGATCAGGCAAGTCGTAATCGCCGGCGCGGAAGGAGCAATTACGTATTAAAAAAAAGCTTAATTACGCTTCCTGATGTACCTACGCACCGGAAGACGTCGCCGTTGCAGGGCGATCATTCGGTGCGCCGTTGTTGCGACTCATCGTCGAGTCGCGAGAAACGACGTTTGCTCCGCGCCGATTTGAAGCCGGAGAATTGACGCACCTGGATTGATCTCGCGGAAAATTGACAGCCGTAAAATTGAGCAGCGGTAACGAACACACGTGTGGTTAACCCTTTGTTCTCCAGCGAGAGTTTTTGTGCGTCTTCGGACTTTTCCGCGATCACTTTTGCGACAGGTAACATTAAGAGATATTAACAGCCGGAAAATGAATCTCTACTGTTGCTGAATTAATAATAACCCATTATCGGCTATGGAAACAGCACTGAATAATGCATGTTAGGAAACCCGATCGCACAGATATATCGATGCATACAAAGTGTGATATTACAAACAATAATGTGTACGATTTGGGAAGCTCCAATGGCTAGAAACGAGAGGTTGCGGTTATCCGGATAAATCATTATTCGAATAGTGACATCATTGTCTATCCGGAGTATCCGAATACCGAATAACTTAGAAACCGTACTATTCGTACTATTCGTGGTACGAATAATACCCGGATATACTCGAACAACAATATGATTCGGATTCAAGTCGTATTAGAAACGCGCACAACGCGCATTTTCGCACGATCATCGCGAGGCCTTTCGCTTTCTCACTCTCTCTCCCCTTCTCTCTCTCTCTCTCTCTCTCTCTCTCTCTCTCTCTCTCTCTCTATTTCCGGTCCCGTCGACGATTACGTAATTCGCCATTAGTAATCAAAGGTCTCATCGTACACGGTCTAATAAGAGACTGAAGGTGCAAGGGGAACGTGGTTGTCGTCAAGGTGGGCTCGCAAAAAGCGCATTCGCTGACGAATTCCATTGAGAAGCGGAGGCTCGCGCGTGAGGCATCGCGAACCCGGTCCGCAGTCCACCCGGAGAACCGGTGGCGATGGTTGAATGGCCCGAAAATAAGATGAACGAGACTGATTGTCGGGTAGCGGGACGGGAGGGATAGAAGAAGAAGTGCGCGAAGAGGAGAGTGGGAGAGAAGGGACTCGCCAGGTGAACAGGAGTTCCAGGTAGGAGAGAGTAGGGCCCGGGGGGGGCAGATGGTTGTCCGTGGGACGCAGCTTGCTGGCTGGCTGACTGGCCAGTCTGATGGCCGGCTGAGTTAGAGCCGGTATTTGCAGCTTTTTGGTAACTATGTCCGTAGGAATGCCGCGCGGAGCCCGCGTTCTCTCTCCCGACGACGCGCCTATGTTCTATTCCACATTTTCCGCCTCCTTAATAATAGGAGCGGCTCCCTTTCTTATCCCATGGACCACCGCGAGCCGGCGACGGACCGGCCGACCGACTCGTTTCGTGCGCGACCGTAACCTCGAGCGGGCCGTCTGAGGTTCCGAAAGACGGCGGGATTAGGTGGAACTAGACGACTGCTCGTAATCTTTAAGCGGACAACCAAATGAAGTAATGAATATATTCGGTCTTCCGTAAAAGAAAAAAGAAAAGCGTCGACTCTCGTACATTTTTCTTTGTAGATTGGGAGTGTTTGAACGCGTGTTTTCGCGGACACCGAAGGTGTCTTTATTTTGCTGAGGAGAGATTAATTATTCATTATCGCTTGCATGAGTGGTATGCATAGAAAAATACATATGCATACTATGTACACGGAGAAAAATAATTTTGCTCTTTTAGCTAAACCTCATTGTCGCTACTGTACGTTCGTTACGATAGCAATAAAATTTTGCATAAAAGTTGGCATAATCAATTAGCGAATTATTCATAACTACAGCAGAAACAGTTCTGTTACTGAGATAGATAATATCCTGCTTTTAGTGAATTTGTCCTTAAGACCCGTTAACTTGCTGTTAGAACAAAATAGTATTTTTCTACATTTACTAATCTCTTTTTACAGCGAAATGATTTATAGATTCGGCAAAATAATTCAACGAATGGCAATTAGTATGCTAAACAAATTGTTTTGTTATCTATGTAGTAACTGACAGATTTTGTAGTGACGGTATAAAATTTATCGTGCCAGCCAAGTTATTTTTCTCTGTATACAAATAAATATCTTTATATATAAGATATTTCATAAGTTAAAAAATTCACAAACATGTCACAAGTTCATCATAAACATTCAATTTATCCAAAATATATTCAAAATCCTAATAAGTTCGTATATTTCAATGAAGAATATTAAATTAAAACAAGAATCGAATTGCTTATTTAAATTAACTTTTTTTCGATAAAATTTCATAATATTCTTGAAAAAAGATAAATTCTTTTACGTGATAGTGAGCTCCTCTAAAATTTATGATGATTATATTTTAAGACTTTTATCAAGAAAATATTCTTTATTGAATATAATCGTTACTTAAACGAAAGATTGTAAGTTGATTAATCTCTTTTCTCAGCAGTAGAATGATATTTTTCTGTAATTCGATCAAACATATGATCAACGTAATCGATATAAAATTAGATAACATAGAGTGATTTTATCAAATCGCTCTCGAAGAAGGTGACGACGAGTTTCTCTTTAGAGATATTTCTTCCGAGAACTTAATAGATGCGTCGCGCGTAAAAAGGCTTTTCAGAGCGGGCCGTTAAGGCGCCATCCACGAACGTAAGATAAGATCTGAGTTCAATGCACGAGTGGTACAGACTGATAATAACTGATAAAAGGAGAATGCGACGGCGAGAGCGGCGCGGCCGACCGGCT